CCTTATTATTTCTAAACACATGGACCTTAAATAAAAGGTACTGCAGTCTTCTGGCCACAAAGTGTCGATATGAGGGGGGGGGGTGAGCCTTCTACATACGAAGCAGCGCATATCAGTACAATATGTGAGGTACCAACATCAGTCTCGGATACATACAGTGTTGCATGATACCTTCAATACAGTGGCGCGTATCAAAATGGTGGACGAAACATAGATGTCGTGTCCGTAGAAATGAAGAGAATGTCCCAAAGCCAACTGTAGAAGTTCTCCATCTCCATATTTTATCAAGTCCATAACAAGCGTTTCACTTGGCAGTAAGTATGCTGTCGTAGAGAAGGGGCGATCCTGGAATTCATTTGTTGCACGTGTTACGTTTAATGAGAGCCATCTTGACGCACTCTGAAGGCTATCGGCGTGACTGTTCGTGGCTCATATTAACCGGGGGGGGACCAAGAAAGGCAAAACGCGCGTCATAAAGCTCTGACTAATGCAAAGTACTGTGGTTATGAGTTCGTTAGCAAAATCTGACAAAGTAACACGGGTATTATGCAGCTGATATGTGGATTCGTGGCATGTAAAACAATCTGGAAGTGTTTGGGGTGCAGACAGTCATACAACAGATGATTCTTCTGCAGCTTACAATTCAACTGACCCTCGGATGACGTGTGACATATATTCAGTGCACTACGTCAGCGTTGCTTGCTGTTACACGAAAACAGGGCCACCAAACGTGAATATCCGAGTAAAATCGCAGTTTTGTTAAAGGCGTGATGGTTCCTATAACTTCAAACAACAAAATCTTACCAAATTTTCTGTTGTGTTACATAACATCTTCAACAAAGCGCGTATGATGCATAAAGAAAGCAAGGGTCTCAGGCTGCAGACGAACAGATCTCTGCTGACACCTTGCTAAGTTATTGCAAGGCTTCTCCTTCAGCACTGATAAAGATATTACATTGCTCCAAAAGTTGTGTTCCCATTTCATGATTCGTGTTCATGCACAAGTGTCGCTTAACATATAAGTCGTTTTGTTCTGTTTCCAAAACATATTTAACATGGATATGTAAGCGTGCTTATATCAGGCACCGGGTGATTTGCTTGCTTTCTTTCGTCGTTCCTGTAAATGTTCCTCGCACTAGCGGGGCAATAAGTTCGAAGTTTCTCGGATCTCTGTTCTGCAGTTAATGGCTCACATTCATTTATCATAAGCTACTTATCGCTTGACACGCAACATCTCGACATGTGTAACAGTAGTCTAAGTCTCGCGATTACTCAACACGTCATTCGGTCCATTTGTTACGTTCTTTCGGTTCTGGTGAGTTAGGATCTCCTCTGTTCATGTGCCACAGCACACAGTCTAGCCCTCCAGGATTAGAGACTGCAATAAACAGATGACAATTAGATTCGAGTGTACGAGCAGTCTGCGAGCCGGAAGAAGAAGCTATTTGGCATGGGTCCAGAACGGCTGGAGCTAATTGGTTCCCCGGACTGGTGACTCACAACTGACGTGCATTCAGTTCTCGCTGCTGGCTAGGAAATTAATTTTCATTATCAATATCAGTTGCCAAAGAAATAACTTAAAGTGATTAATTTAAATGTCTTTAACTTGAACTTACTATTCATATTCCCACGTTCGAGAAGAGCCCTTGTTTGAGTTCCTGTCCACATTAAATCTAAGCTGATTTGGAATATGTTCGTGTAAATTTCAGAATTCAGATGAAGTTCGCGTACTCCTAAAGTTGAAACTTTCCCCCTACTTCTGGTGAAGACTTATGACCAGAAAAGGCTAGAGATGATTACTGAAATGATGCCACACTCAGAGACGGTCAAGTTATGTGGGTCGCGTTTGTCACCTTGCACCGGGGACGGACAAATTATAATTTTACGCGGCACTCGAACGTTGCGTTGTAATTTCCATTTCTTTCTTTTTGCATAAACGAGGTGTGGATAATTCTGGAAGTATCCTTCATCTGCATCACTTTGTCACACCGCAAATGGCGAGTAGTACAAACAACGGACAACGTTCTGAAAAAAAAGAGGCTAAATGTGTGGCCAGTATTTGCGTCAGCTGCTCCTAAGAGCTGTGAGATCCAGCCATAAAAGGCACATTGAGTAAAATGTTATTCTCAACCACGAGAAGAGGTTAATTGCATCACTTGCATCTAGGAGAAGTGATATCTGGTGCTGAGTTACACTGAAGATAATGTGTGGCTTTTAAATATGTCTTTTGTTATTTAACAACTCTATGAGTAACGGCACTCGTTCCCTGCTACCGATCCAGATGTACGGGTTCAATTCCCGGCGCTACCAGATTTCTTTTGAGAAACATTGGGTCTGGAACGGGGTCCACTCAGCCTCGTGATGATAATTTAGGATCTATTTCAAGGAAATAGGGGCGCCGTTCTAGAAAACCGAAATTAACGGTCATGGGAATTCACTGCGCTGACCATGCGACACCCTCTATCCGCAAAAGTTGGCACTAAACTTCGCCGACAAGCGGCGGTCGCTCGGTCGGTATAGTTCGCTTGCGGACTAAAATCTCGGAGTTGTTTTATGAGTAGCTGCACTATAGAGCATCGCGCAGTAGGATTTGGAATGAAGCGGACGTAGTCCAATCTAGATAGTGTCATGGGACGTTTCTGGCAGCACTCGAAGCCTCAGTCAGCGAGATTCAAAGCTGAACCTCCGTGCTTAGTTCACTACAGAGTCTATGGCATAGACATAGAAGGTTCTAACCTCGCTAAACTCCTGTACAAACCGAATTCATGCTGTATGGTTATAGAAACACAAGGCACACGCTGATGATGGCCTGAATTAAGTGTCCCGACTTCAAACGGACATAACATCCGTAAGCCGCAACTAAAGCTGAAATCTCATCTTGCATGAAAACTGTAGTCACTTGGTACCCATGTGACATGCAGTAACCAAGCCGTGTGCATTTCTTCAGATAGACGCCAGCCTGAACACGAAGGTTAAATTTTAAGTTTTAACGATTCAAAATGGACAGTGAGGCAGAACGCAATACTAAATTAATCACCTTCAGCAGAACATGAGACAATTTTTCTGATCCTGCATAGATCTCCGTCTGCCAACATCATATCTGCTACCAAAGAAATTTCGGGCGTCATGATACATGGCGCATTTACTTACAAACACTCTTCAGAAATTGTAAGTGAAATGTTTACATTTTATCATCGTAAACTGAAAATGAATTTTTTTCGGCGAAAAAAGCATAACTACAGCAGCACAGGTGACAGCAGAACTGAATGTTCATCTTGAAGACCCTGTTTCCACAAAAACTCTCCGACGTCCGTAAGGCTACAACTACTTAACTACTGATTTTTCTTTTTTTCTGTGGCGCTACAGCCCCAATTTGGGCCTAGGCCTACCTCCATGAAACTCTCCGACTTAACTACTGATTGCTAAAAGTAATGCTCAGTTGCATAAAAGATGGTATCACGACCATAAAAAACTGAACATCAGGCAACTGGAAACGCGCGCGTGATATGGTCAGATGTTCCCTACATCAATCAGGTAGGGTTTACATTTGGAGAGTACCCAAGGAAGCCTACAATCCGGAATGCCTGGTTACAACAGTGAAATAAGGGGGAGATTCTGTGATGGTTTCGGCAGCAATATCGTGGTATTCTGTTGATCCAATCATTTCCTTTCATGGCCCAATTACTGCAAGGGAGTACGTGGACAGGTTGGGCAATCAGGTGCATTCCATAATCCAAACGTTAATTCTGAACGACGATGCAGTTTTCCAAGACGACAGTGCCTCCATTCACACAGCTGGAACTGTTCAGTCATGAAAGTGAACTTCAACATCTTCCCCGGACACCATAATCATCAAATTTGAACAACACTGAACCACTGTGGTCAGTTTGTGGAACAGATTCCCACCTCCAACATCTCTAAAACAACTTGAAGATGTTTTTCAGGGAGAATGGTATAAAATTTGAGCTAAAGACTCTTCAAAATTTGTACGAGTCCATTCCAAGAAGGACTGCGGCTGTACTGAAGGCAAAATGTGGTACAACACCATGTTAATAAAGAAATGTATACAGTAGCTGTAGTGTTTCCATTATTTGATCCAACTCCTCCATTGTGCTAGCAGCATTTAAGACCAGTTTCCATAAAAGAGAAATTCTAGCTGTTAAACTCCGAAATGAAACACTGAACTCAGCAAACAATTAATTTATGCCACAATTCCACAACTGTGTGTCTCACCTTCATCATGTCTGAATGGAAATTGGTGGGCATTTCTGTGACACTTCACTGAGATTGAGATAAGCTCTGTCCTCTCCTTATTCTTACGTCGACTCGCTTTCTGAGACAATGACGAGGCCCCCAGCCTGAGGTCCAGACCTCTTTCTCTCTTTAACCCCAAATTTCCGTTAATAATGATCATTTCTGCCTTCACACATAGTGGAATGCCTTAAATACCTGACGTTAAGATAAAACTACTTCCTAAATCTAAGCAATAAATGGCATGATATTGTAGGGGGCATGACCGTATATTTTTTGAGGTTATTCAGGACTAAACACGCTGTCAGTATATGATCTACATAGTGTCGAATGATGGGACTGGGGTAAAATTGGAAAGGATTTGGAAGGAGACAGCCATGACATAATCGATGTAATCTGTCTGAAGTGAGTTAGTAAAAATACGAAAACAGAAGGCAGGATTGCCGATGTTCAAGGAGAGATTCGATTCGAGAACCTCCCTAACATAAGGCTTGAACGTTGCCGTTAGGTTATCCTACTCATTGCTCTATACTAGGCTGCAGTGATTGGTCAGTTCCAGGCAAAGGTCATCTTTATTTTCGAAGGACACTCTTCTGGCCCCCATTGGTAGATCTTATACCCAATATCCATGCCCCACGAAGAGTACACTCCCAGCGTTCTGCCATATGTACTGAACGTTTGGAGATAAATTGCTTGTATACACCAGATGCTGAATGTGAGCGGTTGATATATTTGCTTCTTTCTTCCAGGGGAATACTGCTGCAAGGCCGAGAGCAGTACGAGGAGGCCATACAGAGCTACCAGCTTGCCATTCAGTATAGGCCAACGCTTGCCCGTAAGTTAAATTACTGCATGTGCTTGTAATACTACTTGTGAAGAACGGAATTATTCTCACGCACGTCAGTGAATGACACTGGCAAAATTCTGCAGCTTAGTCCTAGTCCCACCTTAAGTCCACAAACGAGCATGCAACTACATCTAGATGCAGGCCTCCTCAAGTGCGTAGTTAAGCCCGGGTGGCAGCTGACTCCTTAACTGAACTCCTCTGAGCCATCTCCCAGAGATTCCGAGTGTCACTCAGATACTGGACAAATTCCTTGCGTTGTGTGTAATCCCAAGATTCATTACTGTCTTATATTTACACGCTCATATTCTGATGTTTGTATACCTCTGATTGTGAAGCATTAACGCCGGGTAGTATGCTGAGAGCTAAGCGACGATTCACAGGAAGAACTGTCCTCCATCTTCAGAGTCGAAGGATAAGCCCAGCAAAAAAACGACCATGGGGCAGGCAGCGAGCTCGCTTGGTAGCTATCCCAGAAGATGGAACTCTTCCGTAACAACGGCTGCAAAAAATCTCAAATCCTACATCTGACCAGGTCTGTCAGACATCATTTGATATAAAGAACAGTAACTGTGACTCAGCCCATGTGCGCACACACACACACACACACACACACACACACCGTTGTAGTGGCAATATTCGAAGCAGACTTGCACATGTCACATTTTACGATATTGCAGTAGTCATCCTCTGAAACGCCCTTAATGAATCTTGCAGAGAACTCGCCTACGCTCGAAACTTCTCGGGAAACACGGAGTGTCCGGATGAAATGTATCCAAAATAAAATCACTGTATCTCACAAAGAATTTATTATACACATTAATGGACTATCAAAGTTTTTTTCTGCGTATATAACTTTCTCAATAATTTAAATGTGGGCTCTCTTAGTGACACAACAAATATCGAGGCTTGAAACATGTTTGGTGTTACCGTAGCCACAGCGTCCCTTATGCGGGCTTTCAAATGTTGAAAGTCATTGATCTTAGCCTGGTAGAAAATGTTATTCACATAACCCCACAAGAAAATATCCACTGGGGTTAAATCTGGCGACGTAGGATGCCAAGCGATTGGTCCACCTCTGCCAATTCATATCCCAGTCATCTCTTTGTCCATGTGATTCCTAACATGGTGGCAAAAATGTGGCGGCTTATGCCGGGCATGAAAAAAGAACTTTCAGAGTTTTCCTTTCCGATGACATAAACCGGACACGTGTATAACAATTAGTTTCCGAGATATATTTTTTTGGATACATTTCATCCTGACACTCTGTATAACTACGGTATGCTTACGTGAACAACTGTGTACGAGATACACCTACATCCCCATCTCAGTCCACCAGACCACTTCAGAAACAGCTACCTATCTTACATTCCTCAATGTTTTAAAATTAGATTACATCAGAGAGTGCTAATGTGGTGATGTAAGAGTAGAAAACAGGGCATGAATGTGGTGCCTTTTTAACAGCTATTCCTGCCCTGAGGATGGAAATATTTAATGGATAAATAATGTGGTAATTCCATGTAATGACGGCTGCTGCAGAAAGTTGGCGAGAAATGTGATGGAAAGTTTCATCATCCTGTAGCAGATTGGAGGGTGGAAATAGGATGGGCTAATGAAGAACTTTGGTTAAGCAGAACTTACACAGAACTAGCAGAAAAGTGGCAGATAGAATGGCCGATGCGGGGGAGAGTAATTCTCTGAGATGAGATCCTATCGACAATTTCGCTGCAGATGTGGGCGATTTGCGCGTAATTTATCATTCACATAAATTGTAAGAAATTCGGGAACTTCTTAAATTCTTCTGCGATTTTGATGATAGTATGATTTTTAAATTTGATGAGCTATTGAATAGATATGAACAATTCTGGAAGAAACCAACTGCTAGAATTTATCATATTCTCAAACAGAATTAGTAACATGTGAGAAGCTGTGGAGAAGTCAAATAATATTTTAAATCTGTTATAATAAATCTTTATCTTTAATGCTGAAGATGTAACTTGTAACACATAGGCTCCAATGAAAGACCGTAGATCAGTGTTTAGAACTGGGAATATGTCAGCGTATATTTCCTCTCAGTTGACAGAAAATATTTTACGATAGAACGGAAGCTTAAATAAATTTAATGTAAGAAATTGGCTTGCAGTTTCTTCTGACTGACCAGGTTGTTTCGACCGCTGTTTATGTGACTGTGTAACTATTTTTTTTCTTTTTTACACACTTTCAGACACCTTATGAATTTCGATTCCTTTTATAGAATACGAATATTTTAGTACAATATTAATTTATATATAAATATGATGCTTTATATGTCTATAAATAATGTTTATAAATGTAACGCATTCACTTTTGTTCTCTCCTCTGGTTATGTAGCAGTCATTATGCAGAAAGTGTGAAGGGATTGAGCGCCCTCTCATCAACAAAGATTTCACTGCAGAAATAGAAATTTGTGATGCAAATTACAAGTACAGCGATTCTATATTAGAATGATGGTACTAATATTCCTTATTAATTTTACACGATGGGCCTCACAGACAATTCGGCTCACATGTTTATTGCATATTAAATGCAGAACATAGCGGCATCCGTAGTCTAGGGGTAACGTCCCCACCTCATGACTCAAGGTCGTGGAATTTTTAAGGGCGGAAAAATTCGGGGAACAAGTCCTCCGGGATGGACTTTAAGCCGTGGGTCCCGTGTCGTAGATTTACGGCACGTAAAAGATCCTCATGTCTCTAGGAGACCTCTGAGCAAAATTAGGCAACAATTTCCCGCCCAAGTAGTATCCAATGCCTCTGGTAGATGGGGGAAATATCAGGTATCGACGGCCGACCTCGTTGGCTGAACGGGGCTGATAGCACGCACCAGTACCGGTAGGGTATGACGACAGTAGAAATTAAACGGGGACGCACAATGGACCAATAACTGGTCTAAGTGCATGAGGAAAGCCACCCCCTCTAATAATAATAATAAATAATAAATGCAGAAAATGACTTAGATATGGAAGAAATGCAGGCATAATCATGTTTACCTCCCCCAAAAACGAAATACAGGTACCTAAACACTGGATAAAAACCGATGATAAATATAAAATTTAAAAATATATTATATTGTGACGTGACGTCTGAGAGCCGGAATAGTGCAATCAGATCTGAAGTTGATTTCCTAGGCAACGAGTGTTAACAGAGCATGTTCCCGTGACAACGGGTTACCATGGGATTAGTATACATACACTTCCGTGACCACACTCGACTAAGCATGGAGGTTACAGCGGAGCTGGAGGTGTTTCGAAACTTGTCCACAAACAAAATCAGAATTGTCTATACATTTCTAACTTATCAAGAGCGTAGAGTCTGTGTTCTTCCGTTATATTTCCGTTACATTGTGAAAGACCAAGTTTCAAACCCCTATAAAGAAAAAAAGGGAAATTTGTAACAAACTCCATAGAACAGTTTTCCTTGAGAATTTTCTCTGCTTTCCGCGGAACGAGAAGTTTTTTACTAGGAAACGGATATTTAGGTGACAGATATTATAAAATAATTTTTCACATGCCTTAAAAATAAATACATTATTTTTAAATGTACCGATGAGTACACAAAGTACTCGCCATACGTCGGCAGTATCTTAGACAGGAAATGAAAGAATGTTGCAGTGAACCACAACAGGCACGCACTGCAAATGTGTGGGTCACTCACAGGAAGCATCTGTACTGAAAAAACGGACGTTCCACTTCACACGACAGCAGTCTTGCAGTTCTGTGATGAGCGACGCATCTTTTCTTATGCATTCACAATCAGTTAGGACTTCCTCATCTAACACACATAAAATCCCTCATATAACTTCAAAACTTCTATCCTTAACGAATAATGACTTCTTTTATTGCATGAATTTAGGCTTTACTGCTTCCGAATCGTTGAATTTATATGTTTTTATCGTGCTTCCTCGGGCTTATAAGATCAACTTGTGCCTGCATATGTCCTCTATAATTTTTGCGTTTTCTGTGCGGTCCTTGTCGCATCAAGGAGGCTGTCTGTGTGTGTATGCCCCCCCATATAATTATTTTCTTACGTTCCGTGTCCTATCAAAGGAAAGAATGCGATTACTTATTCGTAGAACTTCTTGCTGTTTATGTCCTTCAGATTTATTACTGTTGTCCTTTCCACCTCTGTTACAGCCCTCGACACAACCTAAAATTTGCGTAAATGTGGGCAAAGTGTAATTTCTGGAGTTAGGTGAATGATGTGTCTGGAGCTTCGTTACCAAGGAGCTCTATTATTGCCAGCGATTTCACAAAGATCTTCCCATTAGCCATTATTGTATTGTATTGTATTGTATTGTATTGGAGAGGGTGGGTTTCCCCATGCACTGAGACCAACTGTTGGTCCATTGTGCGTCCCCCTATGATATTCTACCAGTCTCTATTCCCTACCGGTACTGGTGCGTGCCATCAGTCCCGACTCAGCCAGCGAGTTCGGCCTCTACTGGCTCAGCGGTATCTCGATGCTTCCCCCATCTACCAGAGGCGTTAGAGACTACTGTTGGGCAGGAATGGTCCTGGATTTGGCTGTGGTCCTTTAGGACATGAGATTCTTTTACGTGCCGTAAAGCTACGACAAGTCCTCCCTCCCGGAGGACTTGTTCCCTGAATATTTCCGCCCTTAAAAATTCTACGACCTCCGCCGGGTTTGAGCCCATGTACCTTGAGTCACGAGGTGGTAACGTTACCCCTAGACTACGGAGGCCGCTCCCATTAGCCATTAACTGCTCGACATATGGATAAAGTATATAAACAGTTCCATACACAGTGCGCAAAAGCATTCGCTACGCTCTCAACTCAGTTCAGTTCAGCTCAGTGGAAGTTCTGCTGCTTTCTGATGGACTGTGCGCGTGTGTAATGAGCAAAAACATGTCAGGTTTCACACATTCTGACCACAGATTCTGCTCTGCATCACTGAAGACACGTTCTATTGCTCTGTGTCTCACTGCAAACACTTATTGGCCTGGGAGAAAAGATTGTTGTTCTGATAGCGTCTGATCATTTTTAGTAACTGCAACAACAGTCCTCCTTTCTTTTGCATCGGCTGTTTCCTCTACGGAGGCCAAAAAGTTTTGTTTCGCCCACAATAACAAAATTTTCATTCAATGTTTCTTCATAACATTTGGATCTTCCTACAAGCTGACTCTTGTGGAAGATCCGTGTAATTATACTTTTGGAGAAAATCCAAACTTCCTTTTCATTTACTTTCAGATGTTCTCTCCGCGGACACAAATTAATTTGGAAAGCCCTGGAGAAGAACTTGTAGCATCTTTTAAGCTGACATCAGTGATATGCTTGCTTCCGTTCAAACCTTGTGTAACTTCGGAAGGTTGTGCGACAATATATTTTGCCCATCCTTGATGAGAGAGGTTTTTGCCATCAGGCGTGACAACTACCTGCAATTCACTATCGCAGTAACGTCACCAGGAACTGGCACTAGATTTCGATTTTCCTGTTCTTGTACACTAATCGTAATTGCTTAGGTATTTTAAAATATATATATATAACCACAGTCCTGCGAAGAAGCTCCGTGAAGATCTATAGATGTAAGGGATTTTTTCTCCTCCAAAATACGCAGACAGGCTCTGGGGCCCATTCAACCTCCTATCTATGTGTACCACCAGCTGCTTCCCAGAGGACAAAGCGACAGAAGCCGTGAAGCTCACCCCTCACTTCTATCTACTGCCGGATTTAAGAACTGTGCAGCTATACCTCCACTCCCCCATACGTCTTCACAACATGGTTCGTAATTAATGAAGCACTGGTATTAATTCACTGCGTATAACACATTTTCATTAGGTTTTGTGCAGTTTCCCTCGACCTGCTGTTCCATCATCTCTTTTAGCTTCCAAAGTTCTTCAGAATACGTTGTTCTCAAGTCCACCGAACCCAGTTCATTCCAGTAATGTGACATAATGTTTCAGGCACATATACAACACCGAGTAAATGGGTCGTTCTGTATATTTTAATTGTGAAAAAGAATACAGAAAATTGAAGACAAATTTCAATTCTATTCATGCTTCTTCGTTTCTTCGTAAAGCAAATCCTGTTATATTACTGTGCACTTCACCACACTTTCGAAAAATTTGCTTTCTATCTTTATATTTTTTTCTTCTATTCCATGGAAAATTTATGAATATAGTACGAGTACTTGGCCTACCCTGCGCTAAATTCTGGGAAAGGCTGCTCAGTAGCCACCGACATTGGTTTCTATGTTTTCGCCCGTTGAATTAACATCAACATCGTAGACAGAACTGATGGAACCATTCAATTCCATCCCCTGTGGTGATTCTGGACCTTTCTTATGGGGTATTCTAAAGTTGAAAAGAAATGGCATTATGCATAAAACATATATTGTAATTGTACATTTATGTCCTGTTCTTAATTATCCCTTGAGCTATATACAGGATGTCCCAGGAGGAATGTGCCAGACTTCGGGAGGCTGCTCCTTATGTTAAAGTATGCCGATATAACCCAAAACACCTATGTCCAAAGTTGAACGGTTACGGAGATAATGGCCCGAGAAAAGTGAGGTTTTCTGGCGGGTCCACGCACCGTACCAGTCAGCTGACAAGTCTTATCAATGTTTGTCCCTGAGTGTGGTGATGACGAGCCACACTAGCCGCATACACTCGCATACCAGAATGCGCAGTCAGCCATGTTACGTCAGTGCTTGCCACTCATGTGTCATGTATAGTGCTTGGGAACCCTAAGGACAATTATGACATGGCGAGCGAGTATTTTGTACTTCAATTTTATGGCTTCATGTCACTCACAAGTAAGTTTGATGTTACGTACATTATTAACATTACAGAATCCACATATTCCTGCCAGTTTTAATATGTATTTTGTAATCAACAAGTGTGTAACACCTGTCAAAGTTTCACACTTCTCTGGCCATTATCTCCGTAACCGTTCAACTTTGGAAATAGGTGTTTTGGGTTATATCGGCATACTTTAACACAAGGAACACCCTCCCGAAGTCTGGCACATTCCTCCTGGGACACCCTATATATATCTTCGGATTATTGGTAACTAATGATGAAGTAGAGAGGGCCTTTACGAAAGCGGACATTTCCTAATCGAGGTACAATCCCGGCATTTCCTGGAGAAACTAAAGAACAGCACAAAAGAAAAACCTCAGTCAGGACAGCCGGTGTCTCAGTCGAGATTCCAATCAAGCACCTCCCGAATATAAATCTAGAGCTTTACGCCTACGCCGGTCGGTTCGCTGCTCAGTGATGATATTCATTCGCCACATAAACTTTGTAATTTCATTTTCTTGCTGTACTGTATTCAGACACTGAAATCTGATAACCGTGCAATATTGAGATGTGTTTCTTATGGCATATATCGTTTATTCACACTTCTGTATGTTGCCCACTGTCATTTCACACTCCACATCACTGAAAATGACGTAATTTATATTAACATGTTGCCTATAGCAACATCAGTTCCACTAGCCGTGTTCCACCACATCGCCATCAGAGGGAATTCTAACATAATATTGAAGGCATATCACACTTTGTAAACATGGTTTGGTCAAGAACAGTGACTTCGGCAGTAACTATAAGATTGGCAGCGCCATAGCTCAAGCGGTTAGTCGCTGGCTTCACACCGCGGCGGCCGGGGTTCGATCCTGGGTCTGATCAAGTGCGATTTGTGGTGGACAAAGTGGCGCTGGGGGCGGGTTTTCTCCGAGTATTTCGGTTTCCCCTGCCAATCTTCTTTCCACCAAATTCTCCATCATCATAATCACCCGGGGCAGGCTACAATAGGCCAATCAGTGGCCGCCGTGCCGAGTGGACCCAGTTTGACTCCACCCCCCACTAAGCGAATTAAAAAAAATTATATGATTCTTGTGTGTGTCGCGCCTTGTCGAATTGATAATTATGGACGCTGGGAAAGAACTTGCCTCCTCCTGTAAGAATTGAGGGGGAGGGTCCTAATCCGAGGTCTCGGATTTTTAATTTCTCACCCATTTCGAGAGGTTGTGACACCCCAGAAGATAACTACAGCGAATACTCATTACCGAGAAAACTTCAGGTTTTGAACTGTATAGTGTTGCTGCTATTGTAGCCGATGCTTTCTTCTTTTTCTCCGCAGTGGCACACTTGAACCTGGCACAACTGCTGGAGAGGAGAGGGCGCTACGAAGAGGCTGTAGCCGTGTACCGACGCTGCTCAAGGCTGAACGGCGCAGGTCTGAAAGACCCTCGCACTCACGAGGCCACCAAGATATCAGCACTTCTACACCTGGGACGCCTCTACGCCGACCAAGGCCGCCTACACAAAGCAGTCGCCATGTACCAGGAGGCTGTTGAAAAGATGCCTGAACACTATCCGCCGCAGGTGAATTGCAGCAAAACCAAATACGCGATTGCTTTGAATATAATGATACACTTTGGAGCCCTGTAATGTACTTCACAGACTAACAAGTTCGACAGGAAAAAAGCAGGTAACGGTAGTTATACAGGACTATGACAGCCTCAAATCCTCTCATTAGCTTATACTTACTGAGAAAATATGAATTTCTCGGTCGGTATAAATACGTCAGCTAAAAAAAAAAAGTCAAGTAAAGGTATCTCTGTAACAGACCTCGGAGGCCCATAGGGTTGTGAGACATCGAGGATCCTATATTGTCTGGACAATTGGCTCAAAGAGGGCGGTAAGGTTGTCAGCCTTACGCGCCGGCCGCACTTAACT